CATTTCATGACACAATCAAAGTTGGAACGTATCAATATCAACATACTGAGAACAGAATCATAAAAACAGGTCAAAAAGAAAACAGTAAAGTGAGTATAAATATATCTTTTTGTGCGTGTGTTTGTAGAACAGCAAGTAATTGTCGGGAAGCTGCTACATCATCATTTATGAAAAGCTCTGTATCTCCTCAAAATGTAATCCAGGCCCAATTTATAAAAATATTCACTTTGGAAAACTATTTTTTTTGTAAATATCTGTTGCTTTCAACAAAACCAGAGTGCTGATGTAAATGGATTGTACTTATATAGCACCTTTCTATCTTATCAAGATTCTCAAAGCGCTTTACACTACAATATGTGCCTCATTTACTCATTCATACAGCACTCTACTAGATCTATACAAAGCTTATTCAACAAATCATTCTAAAGAAACTAATTAGTGCTTAATCACATTCATACACCGATGGGACACACATCAGAGACAATGAGGGACTCAGTGTCCTGCCCAGGGACACTTTGGCATGTGACTGCTGGTGATGATGTGAGGCACAAATGCAGCAGAACGAATGAGACATAGACAAACTTTATTGTTCAGGAGACACAAAAGTGCACATAGAATGAACTGTTGTTGCACAGCCAAATAATAAAACGCAAAACAATAAGAAAATATAAAAATGCCTATTTTAGATGTATTTGCAGTAGAGTGGACTTTTACTGTAAAAGGTTTGTTGGTTATTTTTTTTTTATGTTATTTTCTTACGTCTTGGAGCAAAAGAATTCAGCTTCAAAAATGCCTTATGATTTATTAGTTCTTACTTGTTTCACAAACTTGTTGATTACAGTAGTTTTTGGAGTTCAGTCATGGGTTTTTGTAGCTTTAGATAAAATTATTCTTCAGCTGATAAATTCAGTCAGTTTCCAGAGCTCAATGCTTACCACGAGAATTGGCTTTTAACAAAGTGATGCGTGGGCACGCATAAACAAAGCTTCACTGCAAACAAAGGCTGCATATGGACCCTTTTAATTAGACACAAAACATGGGTTAAAAAGAAATTATACTTTACATGTGAGCTGCTTAGTGATTCTGAGAGCACAGTTTGGTTAGTTTTGCACGTACATTGAATTTTTGAGGCGGTTAAGACTTCGCACAGGCATACCAAGTCCTCATTTAGGTTGGATTTTCCATTTTCCATTTTCTCTTTTCCACTTGACTAACTCCTCACTTTATGAAACGATGCCTGCACATTTGAATATTGTCTTAGAGCAAGAGATGTGCCCTATCGCTTCTCATTTACTCTGCAGGTATGATTAGAAGTTTGACTAAATCTAAAACAAGATCACCTTAAGTTGAACTCTGCTGGTTGCTCTAATGTTAGACTTTCCTTTTTTAAGTACGACTCAAAGACTACCTGATGCTGTGTAGGTTTCACTCATGTAACGGCAGCAGCACTGATTTGTGGGTAATTGGGCGTGGCACTGTTTGAGAAAGTCCTGGAGTGTTTGGTTCAGAGATGTTCATCATGCTTCTTTTCATCAGGGGATTGAAGTCGGTTTGAACAGGATAATATTTATCCTGCATATTTAGCAGATGCATTACCAGACTGAGGTCAGGGCGTTTTAGTAGCTCATCAGCACCTTCAGTACTTTCTATGAACTGTTCTTGTGCAATTTTGGTGTGGCAGTTCATTTTTTATTCTGACGTGTATTGCATTTATATTCAAGAAAGGCTTAGGTTAGGATAGCCTCAGTTCTATGTGAATCATCCACAAGCATTCCAGGAAATTCTTCTTGATTTTAAGATTTTTATTGTTTAAGCTCCTCACCGTGTTAAGACAGACAATGGCTTTTTTGACTTTATTCATCCATCCATCCATCCACCCATCCATCTTTACCTGATTCTTCCTTTCTGGGTCACAGGGGTCACTGGTGCCCATGTCCATCAGTTGCTGTGCAAGAGGCGTTACACCCTGGACAGGTCCCCAGTCCATCACATGGACACATAGAGACAAACGAGACAAACAATCATTCACTCTCTCATTTTCACCTAGAAACAATTTAGAGTTATCATTCAGCCTAACATGCATGTTTTTGGTCTGTGGGAGGAAACTGGAGTACCTGGAGAAAACCCACGCATACACGGAGAGAACATGCAAACTCCACCCAGAATGGCCGGCTGGGATTTGATCCATCGACCTTCTCGCTGAGAGGTGGCAGCTCTACCAACTGCACCTCTGTGCCACACCTCTTTTGATCTTAGTTTGTTAAAAATAAGTTTGGATTTAAATACTGATCATTACAGAGGTCGATCAGAAACTGTCACCCTTTATGACAAAAGAACTTCTTACAATCTCGATGTTTGTCATTTATATTCAACGAAACTGAGTTTTTGGTGTGTATGTGTGTGTATGTGTGTGTTAGGTACTGTTGTGCAAAACAGTTACATGAATGCAGCGTTTAAAGTTCACCAGTAAAACATTGTTTTGTACTGGGATGATCAGTACTGCTTCACCTGTACCTGGTTTCAGTGCTGCGCTCGACTAGTGAATGAAACATGGAGGTCCAAAGAACAAGCATTTGATTTAAAGCATTGATAAAGTCCATCTTATTTTTTGAATTAATAGGTGTACACAGATTTATGTTCATGGAAATATATTTTAACAGTGAGAAGCTCTGCTGGGAAAAGCATTTTTGATCTAATTGAGACATGAGGGTTCTATCGTGAGAATGGCAGTAATAAAGTAATTTATAAAACAGACGATGAACTTGTTGGACTGCTTTGTTTTTCTGCTCTTTGGAGCTTTTCATTCACCAGCACCGTTATGGCTTGTATATTACAAAGGCTCAAGCCAGCAATTGACACAAAGCTCCTTTGTTTTCAGAAACAAATGGGAGTCGGTATTGTTCTACTTCTCAGAAATGTTCCTTGTAGCGATAAACTCAGAGATTTCCTTTTTTTAATTCACCCCAGTTCTGCATGATTTGTGGTTTGACTTATGCTTGCTTTCTTGCATCCCATGTTCAGCAGCACTGGGGTCAGGAGGAGCACCATAAATCAGACATTTCTTGACTGATTTGTTACCAGTCTGGACATTGATTTACAACGGTAGAAATATCTCAGATGCTAGCATGAAGATGGGAGTGTGCTGAGGGGGTGTAATCATATATCGGATTGATCGTGAGAAGAAGGTCAGAACCCTCTCTCCTTGTGATTAAAACCACGTTGTGTTGTATTTCAACTAGTATAGAGGGCAAAGCTATGCAGGTGTTTACTGATGCCGCTGCATTGTGGTTCACTACAACAGTAGACATACAGTGAGGATGCAGGACAGTGGTGTAGTCTACATTTTTGTACTGGGTATACTGAGCTTAGAAACCGAAGTACACCTGTTAGTACAATGTAACCATCAATTTATTTAGATTTTTAAGCATATTGAACATTTCCAAATTTCTCTGATGATTATATTTGAATAAATGAACAACAAACTTTGTACAACAGTTGGCTTTCTATTAATAACATGTTATAGAATTTATAAAACGGTATCAAAGCAAAACATGTTCAAGTATTAGGCGGTACGTACAGAAGTATTAATTATACAAAAAAAACAAACAGGTTGAACCAAATCATTGTGTCTATAAATTGTTCCAAATGTGTTGACAATGACACATGCCCAATGAAACAGTATGTCATGTATCACTGGGCACTTTTAAGTGGGTGTACTGAAATTCCCAAGCTTTTCTACTGGGTATACTCCGTATGCCCATGTGTCACATAGACTACACCACTGATGCAGGAGGATGCATGTAATGAGTGAAACCAGTCAATGGAACAGCTCAGGCTCAACCATTTCACCCCATGTAGATTTATTCTGTTCTTCTTTTCAGGTGCAATTGTTACACATGTATATGTACATCATCATATATGAAAGAATAACTACCTCATCCATCCATCATCTTTTACCCACTTCTTCCATTTTGGGTCACGGAGGTCACCGGTGCCCATGTCCAGCAATCACTGTGCGAGGGGCGGGGTACACACTGGACAGGTCTCCAGTGCATCACAGGGACACATAGAGACAAACAACCATTCACTCTGTCACTCACACCTAGAGACAATTTAGAGTTACCAATCAGCCTAACATGCATGTTTTTGGTCTGTGGGAGGAAACCGGAGTACCCCGAGAAAACCCACGCATGCACGGAGAGAACATGCAAACTTCACCCAGAAAGGCCCCTGGACCGGGATTTGAACCGGCAACCTTCTCGCTGACAGACAGCAGCTTTACCAGTTGTGCCACCGGTCTGCCTAACTACCCCATAAATATCGAAATTCAATAGAATCAGCATTTTTTTACTTTTTTCAATCTCAGGGTTAGGTGTTCACATTCAGTTAATGTAGTGTCACAACTGGACAAGAACTCGATAATCCATCCATCCATCCATCCATCCATCCATCCATCCATCCATCCATCCATCCATCCATCCATCCATCCATCCATCCATCCATCCATCACAGGGTCACATCTTTATATTTAAGTGTACACGGGTTTATAAGAGTTAAATACATTTACTGGATTGGTTTTGTTTTGATAAATAAAAAATATATGAAATTGGTCAAAAGTGAAGAAAAGTGTGTTATCTATCGGCCACCAGCTGCTTTGATTTATTAAGATGGGCATCAGCCTTAGAAGAACTCGTATCAGTCCACCTCTGCACCAAACAACCCAACATGCATGTTTTTGAACTGTGGGAGAAAACCCACTCACACATGGTAGAACATGTAAACTACATGCAAAAAGGCCCTGAGAGTCCAACCTGGAACTTTCATGCTGTTTAGCCACAGCTCTAACCAACTCCACCACCTCACAATCTTGGAAGAAACATAACATGATAATGTCTTTGTTGCTTCAGCTTCTAGTTTTCATCGCTGGCTTCTTACAGTGTAGTTAAAAATGATTTGTTGGTGAGTCTATCCTAACTCAACTTTTCTCTTGTGTCTTCTAGCAGCTGACTGTCGAGTCATGGAGAGTTTGCAGAGATATACCTCCATCCCCACGTACCTGCCTGTGAACTATCAGCTGCTAAATGCTGACTTAGCATTTTTCCTGAAGGAAGCCAACCAGGACTTCATGAGGAACTCTAGCTTACTGTCACGGACAGAGCCGTTCTTCATCTACCAGGCCCGAAGTCTGCCTTTGATGAATGCGAGCTATGGGCCCCTCTCTGTGGAGCAGCCGGTCCCTTTAGAGCTCCTACAGAGTCCTGGGACGTTCCCCCCCTCTTCAGTTTTTACCTTTAACTGGAAGGTGAAAACGTTTATCATGAATACCCAGATTCATTTGGCAAAGCCTAGAGTCCAGGTTTTGTTTTATGTTGCAGGCAGGGACTGGGACGACTACAGCACTATTGACAAACTGCCCTGCGTGCACATGTTTGCTTTCCACGAAACCCAGGAGGTACGTGGCACCTGCCAGCTGAGGGGGGAGCTGGGACTGTGTGTGGCTGAGCTGGAGCCCCTGGCTAGTTGGTTCAGCCCGCCCAGCATCGTGCCAGGACGCCAGAGGAATGTGGAAGTGTCCGAGGGAACCCCAGTGGAGCTCTACTACATGCTGCAGACCACAGAAGCAGGAGATTGCCACTCAGAGGACAGAAAGGACAGCTTCACTCGCTCTCATCAGGAGGAGTTCTTCGGTTCCTATACTTCCACACCCCTGAAGAGGATTGGGGGTGTGAAACTCTTCCAGAACCCCACTGAGCCCCCTCTTACTGAACACAGGCTGGATAACAACTTCATGGTCATGGTACCAGCCACTCCTATGAGGCAAAGGGAAACTGTATCGGCGTTTATCACGGTTTCCTCCCACTCCACCGTAGAGATGTTCACCCTCAGGTAAGGACACTTTTCTTTTTACTTAAATGTAAACAAGCCCTGCATGTTTTTGTCACATCTTAAAATCTGAGGCAGTAGCCACACGAAACATAGAAAAGTATATATTTTAAAATTATTATAATTTTCTCCATCAATCATGGAACCAGCAGGAGCATCACAAAATGTCTTTCTCTTCTGCTGCGCTACCTGATTTCAGCTCTAAACTTTTAGCCTCCCTGCTCTCTGTAATCACCAGTCACAGTTTTCTTATTCCTATTTACATATTTTTCCCCATTTCCCTCAGGTCCAACAGCTAAATCAATTTTAAAAAGATTGATCGCAGAAGGGGATCAATAATTGGTCCACAGACATGATGAGCGGAATAAATCTTTACTGACTGTGACGTTTTCTAACAACGTGCAGCCACACAAAGATGAAAGATGGTTTATGTGTATCAACACTGCAACTAAGAATGAAAAGCCAGCAGATGATGAAGGCAAAGATGTTAAATAAACTTTTTCTTTTAAGATGAACATTTAGGAGAATGAGACAAACAGACATTAACAACAAACCCTTGTACACGACCAATAATTATGAATAATTATTGTAGTTTCTTTACTTTTACATGCACTAATCAACACACTTTAATATATTAACATGGGTTATTCGAATTTTTGTGTACTGTCAGTGAACAAGAGGTGCTTTACTTTTTATATACACCTTTAAAAGAGGCTTAATTGAGGTAACCAGGCACTTATTCTTACTAAACCTCATGAAAAGCAAGCTTATTGTTGGGGCAAACAGCTTACTGGTGATGTTGGACCCAATCAAAATGGACAAAAGAGGGGTTGTAATTTTATTAATTATACGTGCAATGCAAATGAGCTTTCCATTTGAAACAGATGTCCATTAGTGTGATGACAGAGCTTTATCACTTTGACTTGGAATACAATATTAAGAAGTGGAGATGCTCAAACTAAAGTCAAGTTCATCAACCAGTAAAACAAACAAACAAACAATGTTGAGAATTTCTGACAAAGCAAAGTGAAATGTCACGACAAAACATGAATTGCTCTTATTGTTCAGCCTTTTTGTGGTTGTTTGCTAATCTTTATTTTTGCAGGTTATAAAAAAAAATGCAATAAAGTGCATGAAGCTTTGCAACCAAGGTAAACATGTTCATTATGGCTGCACAGTTTAAATCTCAACGCTCATATTTCATTTATTCACAGGCTAGTTGTTCTGAAGTGATAAGGCTTTTCAAACTTTTTTATTTATTTTTATGTTTGTTTGTTTTATTCAATCTGTGAAATAATTCGCTTCCACAGAAAAAAAAGAGCCGATCAGGCGGACAACAGAGGAAAGCCTGTGGAGTTTTTTATTTGGCAGCGAGGCACACAACAGGCGCAGGTTGGCCATCTGAGAGTGATAGATATGAAAAGGCCTCTGCGTGGGCCAAAGTGATAAGGCTGTCCTCGTGCACACATTTGTTAGGATGCTTAATGACCAGATTGAGAAGACTTTGATCTCTATTTTCACAGGATCATTATCATCTCTGCACAACACACTTCTGGTCAAATGCTGCTGGCTGAACATGTATCTGCAGAAGTCCAGTAAAATTTATCATAAAGGTCTGATGTAACATTAGTTTGTTGTATTCATCATTCATTCATTAACTGCACGGATTTTTGGGTGTGCACATTAGTTTTTGGATTAATGGGGCTTCTTTTACAAGAACGTTGTCTTTTCATGTTCACCTGATCCATTATGCAGCAAAACCCTTGCTGTGATGGAAGTTAATGAAAGCTAATTTCTCACATTTTTAATATCCAATCATCTTAATTTTCTGCTTTGTGGAGACTCAGTAGGGTTTTGCTTCCTGTGGTATTTCTCTGTCGATGTGCGTCTTTTAATTTGCTGCTTTTTTTATTTGACCGGCACTGTGTTAATTGGTTCTGTCACTCAGGAGCTGGAAAAGTTTTCCCATTCTTTTCACTGGATTCCCCAGATTTACCCAGGTTCTTTACGTTTGCATTTTGAACATTGGTTTTAATTTAAAATTTTCAACGCAACCTACAGAAGTTTTTGTTTACTGTTTATACTCTTTTTTTTTTTTTAATCTGTTATTCACAGGAGAAAAACAATCATTTTTACAAATGCTGGAGAGAAAAATGTTTAAAAATGCTTTCCAATGTGAACTCCTCATTTTGGTCTATCCATGTGAACTTACATGGAGCTTTTTAAAAAAGAATTTAGCCAATTTATAATACAAACTTGTTTTTATTAGAATAGTGCCTTTTTTTCTTATTTGTGTCTCATCATATCCTGTTGTTCGTGATGAAAAGGTTAATTGCAAAAAGGAAACTATGAACTATGTATAGATATAAAATAATGATCAAAATAAAATTAAAAATCTACAGTTGCTTGGAAAACTTTTTAGCCAATAAGAATGTTTCTTTTTCTGTGTTTTTCTTTAAAGAAGGTTCTTTCCACCTCATGGCACAACAATGACTTTTTTTTCTTCAAATGTTTATTAGAAGATAAAATATATATTTATATAAACATAGAATAAATATCTATTTGAAAAAAAAACTGCAATGGAATATTTAAATGATTTTATGTAATGTAAACAGGGCTAACAGGCCAACCTGTCTAAATAAAGGTTGAATGAATGCCCCATGAATCAACAGTGGCAAAAGTCATTTTGTGTGAAACTCTTCATTTTTTTTCTTCCTAAAAAGATATTAAATGTTGATTCCTCCTTCTGCACTTGAGAGTTTATATTAATTTTATTTGCAATGAAAAACTTTAAAAAGTGAACATTTTGGCAGTACTGTCAGAAGTGAACAACAAAACGACACTTAAAATTCATGCACTTTCCTTTAACTTGTATTGGATATTAGAAAGTTATAACTATTCAAACACTATAAGATAAACTGAATTAAAAAAATCCTTTTGACTTCTTTGCAGACAGTTTAAGTAAAGTTAGTTTGTGATCAGGCAGCACGGTGGCACAGTTGGTAGAGCTGCTGCCTCTCGTTGAGCAGGTTACTCTGCTTCAAATCCCCGTCCAGGGGCCTTTCTGGGTGGAGTTTGCATGTTCTCTCCGTGCATGCATGGGTTTTCTCCGGGTACTCCAGTTTCCTCCCACAGACCAAAAACATACATGTTAGACTGATTGGTAACTCTAAATTGTCCCTAGGTGTGAGTGAGAGAGTGAATGGTTGTCTCATTCATCCATCCATTATCTTTGACCCACTTCTTCCATTTTGGGTCACGGGGGTCGCCGGTGCCCATGTCCAGCAATCACTGTGCGAGGGGCGAGCTACACCCTGGACAGGCCGCAAGTCTATCGCAGTTGGAATGGTTGTCTTGTTTGACTCTATGTGTCCCTTTGATGGACTTGCGACCTGTCCAGGGTGTCCCCTGCCTCTCACACAGTGATAGCTGGACATGGACAGTGACCTCTGCAACCCAAGAAGGAAGAAGCGGGTAAAGATGGATGGATCGTTTGTGACCATGTTTGACTGCAGCAAGGGGCAGTTTGTGTCCAACATGTTGTCACTACTGGAATTATTTAATTTGTTTTAGAGATGGGGTAGAGACTCTGGTAGAGACTAGAGTTTTCTGGAGCTGCGACCAGTTGATAGTTGATGGGATAAATTGTCCATTAGACAGAAAATAAAGTTTATTTGATGTCTCATCTAATTGATCCAATCACATGATTTTTCATATGGCTCCTTTGGGTGGTGAAGGTTTTTTTCTGCAGCGTATGGGTTAAAATATACTCTCAGCTTGTGCACTTTAAACTGTTTGGGTTTACAAGTTCATCCAAACTCAGACCAGTATTTTTTGTTGCTTTATGACAATTTGTGGATCTATAACAACATTCTGCAGGGTATACTGTAAAAACTAAGGGTTACTTGAAGAAAGCTACTAATTTGCTATTTTTTTTGGTTTATATGGTTTTATTGTCCTGTATCAGAAAGCACTCACCATCCATCCATCCATCCATCCATCCATCCATTTTCTTTTGCTTATCCGGGCTCAGGTCACAGGGGGTAGCAGCCTAAGTAGGGAGGCCCAGACTTCCCTCTCCCCAGCCACTTGGTCCAGCTCCTCTGCAGGAATCCCGAGGCGTTCCCAGGCCAGCCGAGAAACATAGTCCCTCCAGCGTGTCCTGGATCTTCCTCTGGGCCTCCTCTCGGTGGGACGTGTCCGGAACACCTCACCAGGGAGGCGTCCAGAAGGCATCCTAAACAGATGCCCAAGCCACCTCAACTGGCTCCTCTTGACATGGAGAAGCAGCGGCTCTACTCTGAGTCCCTCCCGGATGGTCGAGCTTCTCACCCTATCTCTAAGGGAGAGCCCAGACACCCTGCCGAGAAAACTCATTTCGACCGCTTGTATCCGAGATCTCGTTCTTTCGGTCACAACCCAAAGCTCATGACCATAGATGAGGGTGGGAACGTAGATCGATCGGTAAATTGAGAGCTTCGCCTTTTGACTCAGCTCTCTCTTCACCACGACAGACCTGTACAGTGCTCGCTTCACTGCAGACGATGCACCTATCCGCCTATCGATCTCACGTTCCATTTTTCCCTCATTTGTGAGCAGGACTCCAAGATACTTGAACTCCTCCACTTGGGGCAGGACCTCCTCCCTGACCTGGAGAGGGCACTCTACCCTTTTCCGGCTCAAGACCATGGCCTCAGATTTGGAGGAACTGATCCTCATCCCGGCCGCGTCGCACTCGACTGCGAACCACTCCAGCGAAAGCTGTAGATCACAATCTGATGAAGCCAATAGGACCACATCATCTGCAAAAAGCAGAGATGCAATCCTAAGGCCACCAAAACAGATCCCCTCAACACCTTGGCTGCGCCTAGACATTCTGTCCATGAAAGTTATGAACGGAATCGGTGACAAAGGGCAACCTTGGCGGAGTCCAACTCTCACTGGGAACAAGCCCAACTTACTGCTGGCAATGCGGACCAGGCTCTGACACCGGTCATACAGGG